CTAATCACGTGACACTCCAGCAGAATATAGCAGATGTGCGTTCCTCCTGTGAAGATGACTGTGGCAGAGATATATATGCAGCTGAAACAGGTGAGGTAAGTGCATCTATAAATGTCATTTTAAAAATTCTAACCGCTCGTTTTTATTAAATATTTGTGTGTTTTTATATCAAAATTTTACTTTTGACACAGTACATGTCAGCTAGTCCAAGATGTTTACTCAAGTACTATTCTTAGAGGACAGTGTAACTTTTACCAAAGTAATTTTATGGTAAGATACTTGTACTTTCACTCAAATATCACTTTGAGGTACTTTATACAAGACTGGTGTTGGATTTATATGTTTTACCCATGCATGCGTGTGGGTTTTTAGATCCAAAACATGAATGTAGGTAACTAAGTTGTCCCTGTATTGCAGTGTGAATGAGAATGGTTGTTTCTTTGTCTCTATGTGAACCTGCGATGGACCTATTCGGAGTGTCCCCCGCCTCTCGCACAGTGACTGATGCACACCAGCTCTCCCTCAACAGAAAAGCAGGTAAAGATGGATGGACAGATAGTTCAAACATACCATCATTTACAAGGTTTGACCAAAATGACCATCTTCATCCCCTCACAATAAATGATCTAAAACTCTGACATGAATGACGATGGAAGATGCCTTCAAGGAATACTAGGCCTTTATTTTGTAGGATCTTAGGCTTTCAAAAGCCACTTCAGTAAATCAATACCAGCTTTTATAACGATTGAAATACTTTGAATGTAACAGTCATCAGTCATAAGTCTGTGAAAGCTAATCACTGTGAAAACAAGAACATTAGCTGAAAGAAAATCCCAAAAATGAAACATACGAGAGGAGGACTTTGTCTCTGCTTGTTGATGCTCGACTCAGATCAGAGAGCTTCATGCCACATATTTTAGCTCAGAGAGACGAACCAAACTCCCAGTTCTGCTAAGCTGCTCAGCTGGGAGGTGGGAAGCTGTTCAGATTTTTTTGTTTTTCCATTACTCAGTTATTGGCGATGGTCGCAGGCTCAGGCGTGTAACATAATGAGTGGAAGAGACATCCTCCAGAGTTCAGTGTCGTCTCGCTGCTGCCCAAGGGCGAAAACCCCATCTCATTATTGGGGGGGTCCACCTAAGTTACAGTCAAATGTATGGTTGTAAAATGAAATTAAGATTAATCATTATTTAGCTGATAAAGTTCTGTAGTCCAGTTTCAAAAACTAAGACACATCAAACTATTTTCTTCAACCAAACAGCAACAATTATGACATCTTTTTTTAACGCTTACTTTAACACCCGGGTCACGCGGCCATGTAGCTTAGGCTACAATATAAGCTTTCCAAAAATGTATCACCCCAGTCCGGTTTCTCGTCAATATGCGAGACTTTAGAGCGATGCGCGCTCCCGCGAGAGAGGGGATGCAATTTTGGGCAGGCGAGCGTTTCTGGGCATAACACCTGCAGAGGAGGGAGGGGCGGGGAGGCTYTCGCAGTGCAGCGCTTCAAGAACTGACCTCCGTCTGACCTCAAAGTGCACAAGCGTCCAACTTGAAGCGTTGGATGCGATTTTGAAGCTGAAATCGCGTTCGGTGTGAACGCAGCATAACTGTTCCCGAAGCTGGCGGATTTCCTCCCAGAGAGTTTCATTTTCCTCCAGCACCAAATCCACCTCTGCAGGATCTGGAGCATCGGCATAATCATGATCCTTATGGACGGGAGTTGTACTGGCTGCTGTGTTCTCTTCCTCCTCGCTGTCCTCTGGAGGTGGTGGTCTGCCTTCTCTCCCAAACCCCGGGTCTTGGAAGTGGAGTAATTGTTCCACTCGAACAAAGCAGGTACAGCTCCCTTTTTTTTTTTTTTACGTTACAATGGCCGTGGCATATAGGCTAGTCACTCACTTCCGTTTTTGAAAGGAGCCGGCATTTCGTCATCCAATCAAAACGTTCGTTTCATGCGTGCTTTGCGTGATGACGTCATTTCGCGAAAATTCTATCGGAATTTTTTTTGGCTATGCAAATTGAGTGATGACGTCACATATACGTCATCGCAAATATAGGTCATATGGATCACCAGATTCAGATTATTTCACTTAGCTACAGTGGTGAGATCAGTCAGTTATTCACTCATTGATATCAAGTTATGATCACATCCGAAGGAAGACAACATTTCCGTAATAATCAAGAACTCGAAAAGAAATTGAAAGAGCTATATTTAAACCACGAGCACTTCTTCTGTTCTATGTGTATGAATCTGGTAACAGAGCCTATAACTCTGGCCTGCTCACACAGCTTCTGTAGGAACTGTTTAACATCTCTCTGGAATAAGGTCAAGAACCGAAAAAAGTATGAGCATTTTTGCCCTCGATGCGAAACAGTGTTTACAGAGGAGTGTCCCATGACAACAGATGAAATGTTAGAAAATGAGGTGAACCAAGTGAAAGAGGATTTACGCTTAGATGAAGTTCTCTGCTACAGCACATCTGTAGAACCCTTCTGTGTTGACTGCCCTAGAGGAGAAAGAATGAAACCTTTTAAGTTTTGTGTAACCTGTATGGGCTTCTACTGCGCGATACACATTCTGCCTCATTTTAAAGGGAAAGAACATGAGATGCTGGGACTTGACATGGCTACACTGGATAATTTCTGTGAAGAGCATAATTGCATGAAATCGATGTTCTGCCGAACTGATCAGACGTGTATCTGTATTTCCTGCTCTGCAATCGAACATTATGGCCATGATAGAGTCTCAGCTGCTGCAGAAAGACCTGAAAAACAAAAGGAATTTCAGGAGAGACAAGCCGAGTTCCTTCAGAATATGCAGAAAAAAGAGAACAGGGTGAAGAAGCTCAAACAAAGGGTGAAAGACCTCAAGGAAGAGTTAATCTGTGTGCAGAACATAATCAGTCATAATCAGACAAGGCACAGAGAGGAGAAAAGAATCTTAAGGCTACTGCGTGGACTCAAAAGAGCTATTCAACAAAAGGAGAACCGGTTAAATAACCTCGAGGCAAAATATGCTGCGGTGGAGCAGTCCATGTTAACAGAAAATGACATTAAATTCCTACACGATTACACCTTATTTAAAGCAGAGTATGAGCTGAAATTCATAACAAAACACACCTTGATAGGAAACAAAAAAGATATCAGCTGCTTCTACCATTGCGGCTTTATGGTTTAAAAACCCACCGGCCGGAGAACCTAACTGCAGTGTGCAGCATCTATCAACAATACAAATTAAGCGATGGCATCATTTCGCGAAAATTCAAAAATTAATTATGCAAATTAAGTGATGTCCGAGGGAGAGAGAGAGAGGGGGAGGGAGGGAGAGAGAGAGGGGGGGGGAGAGAGAGAGGGGGGGG